GGGGCCGGCACTGCTCTCAAGGACGCTGCCTGCTGCTCCCCTTGCCCCAGGAGAAGGTGGGCGTGCAGGATGGTGGGGGTATTTATACTGGAGCCTGCACGGTGGTGGTGGTGGGGGTGGGTAAGGAGAGAGAGGGCTCGAGTTGTGCGTTCCCAGTTTGACCAGACACTGAATGCTAATCCAACTTTACGCTGTGATCCAGTGAGAGAAATTCCCTCCCTTTCACTCGGCATGGCCGCTGAGTCCAGAGACCTGAGTGGGGCTGCAGGGGAGCCAAGGGCTTATCAGCCCCTCCACTGCTCCCGCCTAATTACTGCACTCCACCCACGGCAGAGAGAGTTGGGCAGAGTCCGAAACGCAGCAAAGGGGGGGGTGGGCACCTGGAAGCCCAAAATTCAATCTTCACAAACTTAAAATTACTTCAGGTTCTGAAAACCCTTTCATACGCCAAGATGGTTCCCATGGCAGACAGCCCTGTGTTGTTTGTTTTGTGTGAAAGTGAGTGATAAAAGATCCATGAAATCGACACAGAAAGCATAACAGCAGAGAGAACGGAGGGCTCTCCATCACGGCGGCTTCTCCCCTCGGCTGACTGGCCGAACAATGGGGGCAAGACATCCGACTGCAGTCCTAACACAGCTGTGCATTTCATTAGATGAAGAGCCCCGGTGATACAAGTAAATAATTAACTTATTCTGCTCCGCTGCCTGTGCTTATGAGGCCAGTCATAGCTGACGGATTTTAATACAGGGAACACAAAGAGGCTGTAATGAGCTTAGGAGTTAAAACAAAATATTTAGACAGAATCTGATGATCGAGAATCTCAAATGGGACAGATGATTTTTTAAAGCTGTATTTTATGCAATTCATTGGGGAAGGGGGGGAGGAGAGAGACTGACCTCTCTTTTAAAACCAAACTTTTTTTTCCTTCTTCCTTTTTAAAGTATTTCTCTTTCACAATTAGTCTAACCTTTAAATCAAAACAGGAAACTTGCTTTTCTTATTTGAGAATGAAATACTTAAAACATGTTCTTCTCTGGGGACAGAGGCATGAAATTCCTTCTCATACTTAGAACTCTTAAAAGTTACACTCACTGGCCCTGCATGCTGGCTTAAACATGTAAATGATATGCAGTCCGCTCCAGCATGTTAACACTCCCGGGACTCTTGAAAAGAGGATGGACTACAAATAGACCGTAGCAAATGGAAACTGTTGGGAAACAATTACCGATTCATACCTTAAATGCTTACACAGCATTTCAGATTTTAAAATAAAAATTTCATCCCGGACTCGAGCTGGTGTCTCCACCCCATTGTTTGTAGCACAGCCTCCTGGCAGCGAAATGCAAATACACCCGCTTAACACGCTCAGGAGAATTTAATACACTGACCAGGGCCGACTGGGAATTGGACCACAAGCCCCTCACTGCCGCCTGGGGAAAGAGATGCTGCTCAGCCTAGGGAGGAGGGAAGAGGGAGGAGGGAGGAGGGAGGAGGGAGGAGGAGAAACGCACCGCAGAACCTCAGAGCGGAGAGGGACTGCAGATGCCCAGTCAATAAACATGACTCCATCAGCACCCAGCTGATGTTTCCGGTTGCAAAGGCAGAGAATCTGGGGAGCCAGACTGCCCACAGTGTCGGGAGTGGCAGATTTGGGACAGGAGGTCACGGTGTTGGGCCCCACACCCTGGGCACACACGTGACTTCTATTTTCTGCTTATTGCTTAGTTCTTCCGTGGCTGGTCATCTCCAGGAAAGGTTTGCATACAAGTCCAGCGAATCCGAACAATCGATGGAGCGATTTAGACAGCATTTCTAACTGGTAAAAGCACCTGCCTTGCTCAAAAATCCTTTTTACTTTTAAGTCACATTTTCTTGTGTTAGCGTGAGGTAAGTAATGGATCTATCTTAATTTCTATAAACAAACAGTGAAAAACTAGGAGGGGGGGTTTTGTAAAAAAAAGAAAAGAAAGAAAGAAAGCTTCCAGGCACTTTATCAAGACAAGAAAGCAAAGACCAACTGTAGGAGACAATTGTACTAATACCATAAATCCACCAGCTGTTTCCGATGTGGCCTCAATGTGCTGAGAACTGACCAGCAAAGTGTTTTCTATTTTGCTGACAGCCAGGTATCATTCTAACATCATGCTTGGCTGCAATTTTCCTTTTGCAAGTCTACCTTCTATACAGAACTATTTTGGGATGAAACATCGAACTCTGAGGTTGATACATATTGTCATTACCCTTGCTTTTTGAGTGAGGAAAGGGAGAGACTCATTGCCCACGAATGCCAAGTGTGCCACGGGCTACGGGGCAGGGGGGAGGCATGTGCAGAGGTTCAGGGACTCCCTTCCAGCGGGAGCGGCATCCCATCCACATGCATGGAACTCACAAGTCAGCCTGCTGAACGCTCAGAGAACAGAGCAAGCAAGTCTGGCAGACAGCCTAGAAAACGAGACACCATCCCAGTCGAAATTACCTACTCAGCTGTTAGTTAAGGTGATTTACTCTGCATAGCTTGGAACTCTCAGCCCTGCATGAGGGTGGGATGGTGCTGTTTTTTTCCCCACTGGGCACCAAGGAAGGAGAAGGCTGGTGGTGGGTAGAGGGAGTGTTCTATGAGGCTCAGACAGGTGGGGTCATGCTGTCTGCAAAGAGTTCACCACCCCTTGAGCCCCTTCAGACCAAGACATGGCAAGATATCAAAGAACCAGTGACCTTCATTTGACTCTCGGCTGATACTGTGCTGCAGGGAGGGGCGGGCTGGGGGAGCACCCGCTTTCTGGGGAGCCTTGGTAGCTCGGTCATTGTAATGGGAATAATCAGCCACCTATTTCACAAGTCAACTTGAAGAACAGATGAGCTAATGTCTGAGAGGTACTTTGAGGTCCTTAGACAAAGGCAGCATCTAAACACAAGGAATTATTATTATATAAGAAACCTAATTACTCTCAGCAGGACGCAAACCAGCAAAGCGGAGGAGCCCCACTGAATGAATAGAAGGCTCGATGTGCTTGTGCTGACTTCAGCTGGAGGGGCAAAGGCTGGGGAGGAGAGAGAGGGGAGGGTAGCAGCAGGCTCCGTCCTGGCTGTTTAGCTCCCTCACAGGACTGGGTGGAGCACTGTCTTTCAGGAACTTCAG